ATCCAGTAGAACTCTGAACGCAAACGCTCAAACGTCCGGTTGATTCCTTGGTGACCGCCCTGAAAGTCTTCGTGTGAGTAAGGTAGCATGTCAGCACGTAAAGACTCCGGGACCACCAGTCCGAGCTCCGACTGTTTGTTGCGGGGCCTCTCAGGAGTGGGTGTGCTCAGCCTGTAAAGGACTTCTCGCGAATCCAACACAAACTGATCAGAAACCTTCGCAATCTTCTTCACCTGGTTCCGTGGAAGATCTGACACGTCTCCATTTAGGACCTTTTTCATTTGCTGGATCCACAAGTCTTCGTCTTGGTGAACCTTGATTCTCCTCCAACGTTCATCCTGGTAATTCGACTGGTCTGCAGGAGTCCGGGAACCTGTGTCGGCTTCCGCACGTGATATCGTAATTACCATCAATGCCTAAGCCGTGACAGCTAAAGACTCAGGTATTCCGGCATCGGAGTTACCCGTCCCAAGTTCAGCTTGGTCTGAGTGAACCGCATCAGTCACAGGGGTACCTGGAATTTCCGAAGGCTTCTGCTCTTTTCAGGACTTCTGGACACGAGCCGTAGATGCACTATCTCATCGGGGTCATCGAGCTCCCAGGATTCTCCAAGCACGAGAGTCTTAGAGGTCAAGTAGTCAGCTGCTTCGTTAAATTCACGTTTAACATGAATTAACCTCACAGACATAAAATTCTTCCTGAGACCTCATACTCAGCCGAGCGTCGTTGCAAATTAGGCTGGTTGCAATTGATCAGACCCTGAGCTTGTTGGAAGACGATTCTAGAATCACCGACTGCCACAAGTTCCTTGACATCATACTTCATAGCAAGCTTTAGCCCCATGATCAAACCATGGTATTCAGCATCGTTGACCGTCACACCTTCTAGAACGTGTCCTTCAGCTTTCACTACCCGCCACCCGGGCAGCTTCCACAGTATACATCCGCAGCTTCCTCGGCGAGTAGAAACCTTCGCAGCGCCATCAAACTCAGAACATAGCCTTGATAACTCGCGTCCAACATTTCCAGCCTCACTGGGGGCATCACTTTCAGACGCGCCTTGGCAGGAATCACGGTTTCTGCAACTTTATCTAAATGTTCCCTGGGAGTGATACCTGACGCAAGGATGGCTGCAAGGCCGTCCTCATCTTTCTGAGTCCAATGGATTTCCAGTGTCCATCTCGATAGTTCCAGCCCCCACTTCAGATGCCGTCCGTCTGCAGTGATGGATTTGAGTAACCGCTTTAGCACAGAGTAGCGCGTATACACCACAACTGGGAATTCTGATCCATGGATCAGAGGTCTGAAAACTTCCAGAATCCGCAAAATTGCGAGCACTTCCTTCTCAGCTATGTCGTAACGTAGATCTGATTCATTCAACACTCTACCAGTATCGTACTGGATGTATGAGTCCTTCGTGTTCCTGACCCAATACCGCACATGCCGCCCACGGGTTAGCGTGCGGAATAATCACGAAAGGCTTGGTTCTGTCTGGATGTCGCAGCAGCGGGGTCGACACGATCTTACGTTTCAGTATCTCGAAAGACTGATTTGCGACTTCCAGGTTCCGTCCAGCGCGTACACGCTCTTTGTCCGGTTCGTAGAGAACAGCGGCAACTACTGGTAAGTCTTCAATGAACGTATTGTAGTGATTTAGACTTCCTAAGAAGGCCTGTACTCCCTTGTATGTTGACGGGAAAGATAAGTCCTCTATGCCTTTGACAACCTTCGGCAAGGCCCTGATTCCGTCCGCGCTCACTTCATGAGAAAGGAATGGAAAGGCCAACTTTCCGAATTCACTTTTCGGTAAGCTCACCGAGATATTCCAGTATCGTAGTCTGTATAATAACGCGTCCAGGTCCTCACATAGTTGGTCCAAGGGCGACGCCCCATGAGCGATATCGTCAAAATACGAACTTCTTCCCAAGGCCGGACCCATTTGTGACGGAGCCGGGATTTTGCGTCGAAATACGGTCATGTCCAACGATGGAATCTCCGAATCCTTCATATCCACTTCAGGTTTCAGGATTTCGTGAGGCTCGAGATCCAGGAACTCCCAGACAGTTGTTGATGATGCTCTGATAAATTAACGGTGCATTCTTCAATCCAAAGAGCATCCTGAGCCTTTGATAGTGACCGAACGGGCAAACGAACGCAGAGCATCCTGAGCCATTGATAGTGACCGAACGGGCAAACGAACGCAGATATCAACTTCGCACGTTCAGTCATCCGCACTGCCCAGAATCCACTTGCCATGCCGAGACTCATAAACCACATCGCGATAAAGTCTACCAACAGATCATCAATCAGGGGTAGAGAATAGCGGGATAGCTTGATGAGCAAATTCACAAGTTGGTAGTCAATACACATCCGGATGTCTATTCCGTTTTTCTTCAGCACAATCACAATAGGTGAGGACCACTCGGACTCTGAAGTTGGTAGTCAATACACATCCGGATGTCTATTCCGGTTTTCTTCAGCACAATCACAATAGGTGAGGGCCACTCGGACTCTGAGTGCTCAATGAGCTCTGCCTCAAACAACTTCT